GGCGTCTTCCTTTAAAATTTCTTTGATTGCGTTTTCTATTTCATGTCATGGAATGCAAGTAGATAATGTCTGAGTCAGCATTTTTTCTAGTATCTGTATGACTGGAAAATTCATTGAGGATAAAGAAGTCCAAGAGCCCAAAATATTGCATCTATTTTTATTTGACCGCTAAGATGCAAATAACTTTTGCATGATTCTTAGTCAAGTCAAAATACATTAAGCATGCAAAGAAAGAAAGCACAATACTTGGGATCTAATGACCTATGTATCGACCACATGCAAAAAAGAGCAAAATTGGCGACAAAAACAACGCGCATGTCAGAACGACGCACACGTCGGCACAACGCATCACTTGAAGGGTCAAATAACGTCCAATCACCGAATGGAATGCATTGTGGCTACCAGAACGTCGAATTCCCTAAGTTGGAGACCCTTGCAATCGGATCAGGCTTAACCGGTCAAAATTGGCGACCGACACCCGAAAATGACGCGTGATGTCGCTCAAATAACGCCTAATTGCAAAACAGACTTCTTCGTTGTGTTTGGAGCGTCTACAATACTCAAAAGAGACTATAAATTTCTTCAATGGATGCCGCATGAGAAGATCAACGTGAGTCCTGAGGCAACGAAGCACAAATCAAGAAAATTGACATGCGACGTCGCCCAAATGGCTTCCGATCGCGAAACGAACTCCGCAGTTACGTTCGGAACATCTAAATAACCTAGAGGAGACTATAAATTTGCTCGACAAAAATCACGTGCGTGAATCGATCCGTTTCCGAGATAATGGCACACAAACTTCAAGGAAATGCACGAAAATCAACAACAAATTTTTTTTTATATATTTGTCATTTTAATTGAAATAACTAGCACTATTATTATGTAATAATAATAAAAATTAATACCAAAAAAAATCAAATCAAATTAAACGCAGCTTACCTTGCCATAGGAATCGGATGTCTGAAGGTAACCGCTTCGCATAAGCCTCCCACAACGACAATGAGCGCTGCTTGTCCTCTTCGAATGACACACGGCGCCTGTTGATCATTAAATGATGAACGAAACGTAAGGTTTTGTTTATCCCTCCCACTGTCCAAAACTCCCACCCACCTCCTTCAGCCTTGCCTCTCAACATATTAGATTATGGCTGATCCCAATCGAGCCTCCTGCTTCTCGATCCTGCCGACACGCCTTAATCCACCAGATTAATCAACGAAACAAAATGTGTATAAATTCTCCGATGATAGTCGTGTTGAATGTAAATGTCAACCGGAGGGGATCAAATATTTTCAAAATGTCCCCAAATTCAAACAAAATACAAGTATTTGCAAATGACCATGAACATCCCGATGATGACCGTGTTGACCGAAAATCTCAATGGGAGGAGACTACAAACATTCAAAATGCCACCCAAAGTATTTGAAAATTTCTTGTTTCATGTGTATAAATTTGTTACTTCATAATTCAATAGAAAGTTAATATATCATCCTTTAACATATTATTTGGGTATTACATAAAAAATCACTTTCAACTTTTTTTTTACTTTACGCAATTTTTGAAGTTTAAGGCTTTACGCCTTAAAACGTCTAGAGGCTTACATCTCCCCTCATAAATGAAAAACGCCTCAATACCCAAATATGCAATTTTAAACCTTAACTACCTCCTTTGACTAAGGAGGCTTAGGACCACGATGGCCCAGGATGACAGGACCATGGGATCTTGATAGATCTCATCATCACTCCCCCCCCCCAACCATCTGCTTTCATGTAAGATGGTAAAATTTCATATTTTAAATATCAAATTTTCAAATACCAACCAATGCTCCTACTACATACTGGATATCACGTATCTATGGAAACAATGTATTCATTTGACAACTAGCCTTAATCGAAAGTTTTCTCTCGTTATCGGGAGGGGTAATTAACTATAAAGGCTTACGCCTATAGGAAACCAGAACTCAGATAATAAAGTCCTTGAAAAATGAGGGCAAAATCTCTGGACAGTGTCCTATCTACAAACACAATCTGCCTTCTAAAAATTTACCCAAGAACTTAATCCGTTAAAACTCCCTCGAGAGCAAGGGAGGTCAGGGCACAAATTTTCATAGCCCACAGAAACACTTCAACCTTTTAAAAACTTATTGATGTTGTGGTCACCTAGATTGAAAACTAGGATGAGCTCAACCAATCTAAAAGTGCCACTGGTGCAACCAATTGTAAGGACGAGTCAAAATACTTTGGTTTTCTTCAATATTTCAACAATTGTTGACCTTATCGATGATGACTATGGAGTTTGTCATTGGATTAGCAAATTTTTTATTTGGTCTTTTTAAAAGTTTTAGTTATATTTGATGTCCTCATGGAAGGAAAATCACTTCATCATTGGTGTTATGCTGTTTCATTTCACTTTCATCTTTCTGTCTCCCTTTTTTTGTAAATATGTGATCAAATTGTTCTAGTTTACTATCTTCATTACTCCTTGTAGCCATTTTTTTATTATTTTTTTAGTAAATGTTTCACTTTTTCATGAGGACATCAGCCGTCGTTTCCCGCGTGTTTATCACAGAGATATTGCAAATTAACAGCCAAGATTGAAAGCATCTATTATTGAGTTCTTCGTTATTGTATTAGTTTTATTTTATTATTTTGTTTTAATGCACCTTTGTAACCATATGCATCTTTGTTTATTTTCATTAGCAAGGCATAAATATAGTGTCCAAAGTCTTTATATCAATTTTAATGAATGTTTGATGAAATTCATATTTGCCTCTTTGTGTGTGCACTTGAGAGAGGAAGAGCCTAAGAGAGGCTAAAACGAAGTACCCAACAGCCCCTGTGGGTGAGCTCTTGATTTTCCCGCATCTTTTCTTCTTCTCTCCCATTTTCCACCACCCTGACTTCCTCTTCTTCCACCCTACCTGACAGCCACCATCACCTCCCCTCCTTGTGTCAACCCCACCTCCAAACCCATCTCTACTGCCGACCCAAGACCTATTTCCCTCCACCCGAGCCAATTTCTCCCTCCCCCATGATGTGGCCCACTCCACAATCCCCATCATTATGATGATTTCCCTTATCATAGTTGCTTTCCTAAATTAAGTCAAGCCAAGAAGGAAAGAATTCTAATTATTTGAAATTCAAATTTTGAATTTCAAATACTTTCCTTTTTTTAAATTCTAAACTAGAAAAGTGATTAAATCTAGATCTAATTTGAATATCAAATTAGATTGGATATAATAATTCCTTTCCTAAATTACATAGCTTGTTTTGGAAGCTCTTAATTCCCTCCAACAAAACCCCCCTCCCTCTAGTAATGTTGACGGCCCATGATGGGGCTCCACCTTGGATTTCTCTTTTAAATCCCAACCTTATTTGAATTTGAAAACAAATTCCAAATCAAATTCCCTCCCAATTCATTTGAATCTAATACAAAATTCATATTTAATAATCATCCCTCCACCTAACCCAAAAACCGAAATCACACAACCCAAACCCTCACCCCTCTCTCCTTGGCCGACCCCCTCTTCATCCTACCTTTCTCTTGGAAGCTCCAATCCACATGAATTCTATAACAAGGAAGAGAAGATTTCATTGAAGACTACGTAGATCATATTCTTCATCACTTAGCAGAGGTGATCGACAAACAACGGCTGTTAGTGCAGAGGCAACTCGTGGGACATTTAACCTTACCTCCTTCGGCTACTTCCCCTTTGATCAAGACCATCGGCGTCACCATCCTCTTAAGTGGCATCGTCTAGTTCGCTCAAGACTCCTCTCCATTAAATAATTCCCATAGAGCGTTAGTGAGGTACAATGGAACTTGAGGTGAAAACTCTTGACATTAACCTATGAATTGTTATTACAAGTGCATTAGACTTTATTGTGATTTGTCGATTTTGTTTTGAATTGGCTTGTCCTTCTAAATTGCAACCGATTGCTAAAACAATTCGCAAAAGATAACTCTTTAATCTTTTTCTTGTAATCCATTATTCGTGAAGTAGCAAGCTTACAAAACTTTTATTATTTCTTTAAAATCATGGTTGTTTCACATCACTTTTCCCTTAAATGGTATTTCGTTCTGATTACTACTTGCAAGTTGTATTGGTTATCACTAAGACTTCTGCATATTAATGACTATCATACATACGAATTTTGAATTTTAAAAATAAAAAATTGATAGCTATCATCTGCAATAAGAACGTATGTTCCATTGCTTGTGCGTAATAGAAATTATGCACAATGCATTTTGGACAAATACTTATCAAAATAAAAACTACATAGGCCTTAAAACTGGACCATAAATATAGTGAAAAATAGCAAATAACAAATTCTCTAAAAAATACATCATCAAATCTTATTACTCGTTCATGAGTTGATGCTCGACCGGAAAAACATTGTAGCCTCGCCTCTCTTTAAGGTGCTGTAACTTGACAACTTCATGGTGGCTTGAACATTAATAAGCATGGATGCAAATTATGTTCAATCGTTTCAAAAATGGCAAAGGTTTGCAAAGGGATTGATAAATGTGACGTGTCTTATTACAGATGCATTTGTGTTGGCCTGTTGGATAGCAATCATACCAAAATAAGAGAAAACTAACTATGTCTCTGACACATCCCTCAACAAGAAGAAATGTTCGGTTCATAATATGTTTGACAATAATTACAAGGCAAGTTATGTTGGTAAAGTCCCTGAAGAATGACCAAACATGTTGAAGTACACTAATTGAAAATAATGCATGGAAAATTATAAGGTTTGAGAATCTTCACAATGTTTGAATAATCTAAACTCCGGTTAGTCTTTCTCTGGAGTTTCCTTAAAAAATGGGCTAATTTCATTTAAGTTCATAAATTTTTGTTAAGTCAACAGGGAATAAGAATTACTCAAGCCAACCTAATTGATGGGGACATCAATTCGTGAAAGGTTTATTAGAGGCGTGGCCGCCAATCTACGGCCATGATCGAGTCTTTATACTTTTGAGTTAATTATGTTATTTTCTTATTTATATATTTTTTTCTATTTTCAGTGTCGTGTATTTGTTTTATTAAATTTCCAGTTGTACCCTTTTAGTGGGAGACGTCGTATGTAAGCCCTACTAGGCTATACCACCAGCCCCCCATCCCACTTACCCCCTTTGGATCTCCTAACTTATTTTAAATTAATTTGGAGTCAACTCGGAATCCAAATTAATTAAATTTGAGATTCAAATCCCTTCCTATTTGCATGACTCTATTTTAGGAAAGTTTCCTAATAGATCTCAATTTGATTTTCAAATTAAATTCGATCTAATCAAATCTTTCCTAATTCCTAAACCCAAACCTAGAAACTCCAATTACCTCCAACCAATCCCTCCCCATCCTCCTCATAGCCGACGGCCCCATCCCCTTACCCGCCCCACTACTCTCTCCAAACTCCTCTCTTTCTCATTAACTCTCCACCCCTTACAAAATCTGAAATTTATTTCAGATTTTTGTCTTGGCTCTCCTCCCTCCACCTTGCAAGAGAAACTTCTTTCTCTTCAACTATCTCCAAGTGCACCAAGCACCTATGAATGGCGGATCCGAAGACTGAATAAGGCCTAACCTACGACGATGACGGCTTCGTCGACATTCTTCAATCGACCTTCTTTGACGTTAACACAAGGGTCGATCACACCGTCGAAGAATACGTCGAGCGTATTTTGGACACGTTGGTGGAGGCAATTGACGAGCACTTTGAAGACATTGAGTGGAGGATCTCCACCAAACCGTGACAAAGGTTTTCTTTTCCGCTTTCAATATATTTCCTAAATCTAACTTTATCTTGTGCATAATTGTAGTCACGAAGGACGATTCTCCCTGCTTCTGCTAAGCTTGATAAACGTTGGGTTTTGAGTGTGCCTTTATGCTTATTAATTCTCATTGTCAGATTAAGGATTGTATTGAAGCTACTATTTTGGCATGAAGTGATTTACTAATTTATTTTGAAAGTTTTCTAACTCTCTGGTTATGTGATTTAGCCTAAGCGGGTGTGACCCCTTTCTTGTTTTATTCGTTGTTTTAAAATGCTAATGGTTTCGTCATTGTTATTTTAATCAAGAGTTGTGCAAATCTTTACAAACATTACATTTGTGTTTAGTCTTGCATTATCTGGTATCAGAGCATGGTATGCTCTTGCATGTTTTAGAATTCCTGATAATTTCCTTTTATGCATTTTAATCTTTGCACAGGTGTCATTTAGAAAGTTGATAGGTTGCTGCCCTGTTTGGTTTTACTATCATTTTGCATCACATCATTGTGTTTTACTCATATTTATTGTTGCCCGTTACATCCTAGTCTTGATAGGCGACCCGTAGTAACTTCCAATGGACCCGGAACAACTAGGAAGGACCTTAGACTTGTTAGTAGGCCAAAAGAACACCATTAGCCAGCAACTCAAGGAAAATCAAGCCGACCTAGCTTAACTTCATAAGAACACCATTGAGAGGTTTGACACGTTGGAGCGAGCTAGAGAGAACCCGACTCCCTACATCCCATCTAGACCACCTTCTATGTATGGGGATGAAACCTACCCGGATGAGAGGCAACATCGTGCTAATCATCGAGCTCCTTACCATAGACATGACCCACGTCATGATCTAGAATTAGATGAGCGACAGCATCGTGCCAATCATCGAGCACCTTACCACGAACATGACCCACGTCATGATCCTGATGCACCACTTATGAAAAATATCAAGGTTGACGCTCCTACCTTTGATGGCACCCTCGATCCCCAACTCTTCCTGGACTGGGTCAAAGGTATGGACAATTTATTTAAGTGGTATGACATCTCCGAGGCTAGGAAGGTCAGCTTTGCGGACATGAAGCTCACGAGTAGGGCGAGTCAGTTTTGGGCCAATTTAGAGAGCCTTAAGGAAGCTAGAAATGACTACCTCATTGTTGATTGGCTGTTCATGAAGTGAGAACTCAAGCAGAAGTACTTGCCTCCGTCGTACTTCCCCCGATTATTGGACAGGTGGAATAGGCTGACTCAAGGCAACAAACCAGTGAAGGAGTACATCGCCTCTTTCGATGACTTCTTAATTCGATGCAAAGGGAGACCTCTACCACCACTGCACAAATCTTATCTATGTTTCGTACCGGGTAGCGTGGAGATCTTCGCACTGAGTTGTTTGCCCGGAGCATCACTACACTGGAAAATGCCTACAGCCTAGTGCTTGATTTAGAGAAGACCCGATCACAGCATCCGAGTCGCCTACATGATTCTAGGCCCTCCTATAGATCTGCTGCTAGTTCCACCCCACACACCTCTGCTACCTGACCACTCCTAGGAGCACGATCCGACCACCCACGGGTCCACCTGCACCTAGATCTGATTTTAGAAGCAAACCTCCCACCCCGGATACCCCTCGGTCCAGTCCAGGGACCAAGTGTTTTCGATGCCAGGGGTATGGGCATATCGCTTCTCAGTGCTCCTGTCCGTATAAAGTCTCGATCATCGATGAGATTACTGAGGACGATCTCGAGCCCAAGATTGATCATATCCACCAAGTTGAGGAAGAAGGCGAATACTTCGAAGAGGATGACGACACTGCAGTCCTCCATTGCCTTCAAAAACTGGATACCTCTCCCATCTGCGTGGAGAGATGTGCGCTATCCCACCTGACACCCACGGATGATTGGCGTAGGACTTCGATTTTTCACACCTACACCAAGATCAAAGACAACAACTGCAAAGTCATCGTGGATAGTGGTAACTGCATAAATGTTGTTTCCTCCACATGGTATCCCAATTAGGTATGTTTGCTGTTCCTCACACCAACATGTATAAGGTAGCCTGGGTCAACTCCACTGCCTTGGAGGTGAAGGAACAAAGTCACGTGCCCGTCTCCTTTGCCACTTATAAGGAGAATATTTGGTGAGAT